GGTGATGTTTATGAATTGCCACAGCCACCTGTGCTTCCAGGGCACGGTTAGCAGCTCTCTTTGAACACAGTGCATTTCTGCCTGGGGAAATTATTCATAAGCTCACTCTGGAAATCTTTGTCACTTCCTTCTCCATTCTTGGTATCACCTCTCTGTTGAGTCCTTGTTTCACTTGTAAATAATTATTTTAATTTTCACGATAAAGTTGCTGCCCATTTGTATTATATCTCTGATTAATAGCTAATAATAAGGCTCTTTGGAAATTAAATTTTTCTATACATATCATTTAATGCTCCCTATTGTAAAGTTTAATGAAAATGGGAAATTAAGCTAAAAAAGTGCTATGTTTTTCCTGAACAACAGCTTTGGCTTTGGGTTAGTAACTTTGCTTTTATTTTATTTTACTACAAGCCTTCACTCCAGTACAGCTTTTTACATAAAAAAAAATTCTTGTTACTAAAATATAGACTTGAAATTACTCATATGATTAAGTTAGGTATCTTAGTTTGCCTCCTGGGATAATGTGTAGTAGAGCTCTTGATTTCTGTCATTTATGTTTTTTGGCTTTCTGCCAATCTCTCTCTACTTTCTTATTCTCCTTTGGAGACTGAGCTTCTGTCCATCTCTTAAATATTGACTATTCTTAATATTTCGTTCCTGTTCTTTTTTTTCTCACTAAAACTACTCTCCTTAAATACCCTTATTTGGTATCATAACTTTAACTATCATATGGTTCCCAAATTCACATCTTTGGCTTAGCTATCTCAAATCTTCAAAGCAATTCAGTTAATTTATTATTGGATAAACTTGCCTATTTATCCCAGGGACATTAAACCCATCACATTCAAACTATATACTTTTTTAACCCTTGCCTTTAAATATGTTCTTCCTGAGATATTGTCTAAAAGAGTGAATGAAAACACTTTAGATACAACACACAAACCAGAAGTCTGGGAGCACGCTAGCTCTGCTTCGTTTCCTCACCACATACCAACGTCCCTGAATACTGATAACTGCATTTCCTGTACATGTTTCCTATCCATTCTCTCCCACCACCTTCATTCAGCTGCCTGTCATCTGTCACTTGAGCATCCAGACTTTCCAGACAGCTTAGACTCAATCCCCGGTCTTATTCTTTTATATAGTCCTTCACATTAACCATAAAGTAACTTAGCAAGCACACATTGAGTCATATCCTTGCTCTTTGTTTACAGTGAAGTCCAGTGTCTCTGACATAGTGCATACACTTGAACCATGTATGATCCATGAACCCTTATTCAGTGTCACTTTTTTTCTGTTCCCCTGTATTCCCTAAGGTGTTGACTGGCACAACCTATCCATCCGATGCTTTTCTGAAGCATTTCTAAACATCTGTCTACAGTGAAGCTCTTCCCAGCTCTTTTTCAGAATAATCTACCCTACCCTCCCTTGACCCTGGGGTGTCCTGTACACACTTGTATCTCAGTCTCTAAGTTGTGTATTTGCATGGTTCACTTTGTAGGGAAGATCAAGATGGTATCTCATTCATGTTTGCTTCTCTAGAACCCACAAAAAGAAGATGTTCAACAAACACAAATTGTACCAGTGGATTAATAAATGAAGGAGGCAATTAATTATTAAGTATCTACACAGGGATATTGTGGATATAATGTATTCACACACAGATAACATATAAATAATTGAAAAGCATCATGGTGGATATTTTATTTAGTTCTCCAGTTTTAGATAGGCAATAAATTCATTTTATTATTGTTACATGCTTCTGCTACATTTTCTTTTTTTTAATTTCAGATTAATATGAGAGTACAGAAAATTAGGTTACATTGTTTGTGTTTGCTAGATAGTCCAGGTTGCAGTTGTACCCCTCGCCTGGGAGGTGTGCCTTATACCCTTACATTGTGTCTGTTGGGGGGAGCACACCAATTCCTCTTCCTCCCTTCCCCTCTCTCCTTTTCTTGCAACTTGAGTTTAATTGTGTTTTTCTCTTGTAGAGGCATGTATTTGTTTATCTAATGGTTTCATATTAGTATTGAGTATGTTGGATACTTAATTTACCACTCTAGTGGTATTTTCTTAAGTGGAATATTGTCCAACTCCCTCTAGGTTAATACAAAAGATATAAAATCTTCATATTTTTCATGGCTGAGTAGTATTCCATGGTAAACATATACTACCATTTGTTAATCCATTCATGTATTGATGGGCACTTGGACTGATTCCACATCCTGTCATTATGAATTGAGCTGCAATAAACATTTTAGTGCACATGTTCTTATGGTAAAGTTATTTTTTTTTCTTTTGGGTACATACCTAGTAACGAGATTGTGGGATCAAATGGAAGGTCTATTTTTAGTTCCTTGAGGATTCTTTGATTTCTTTCTAAAGAAACTGTAATAGTTTATAATCCTACCAACAGTTTAAAAGTGTTCCTCTCTTTCCACATCCATGCCAGCAGCTTCAACCCTAGGACCTTATGATGTAGGCTATTATCATCAGGATTATGTGATATCTCAGAGTGGTTTTGATTCTGCTATTTTTTCTAACCACCGTACATAGTTACTAAACTTTTCTTATCACTCCTTTAGAGGATCTAGGACAATTATCCCTTGAGCATCATTATTCCAGCCTTAGACATATAACTGCCTTGAATCCTTTAGTCTGTGCGTCTAAACCACAGGCATGCTTCCTTCCATCCCTTGTTAGCTGTGGAATACGTGGCTCACACATTAACAATGTGCATCTCTCTCCAACAAAGAACCAAGTGTGCTCTGATAAGTGAGTTCTGGATGTTTCTCTCCAAAAATTTTCCCAATCAGCAAACACACACATGTGCAAGCACACACACACACAATACAAACACATAAAAGAGATGATCAGGAAATTTTTTAGGGAATCCTCTGTTTCTGCTTTATCATGTAACTATAAACACAACACTTCAGTCTGAGTTTTACTAAACTTCATGAGCTCATCATAGAAAAGGTACAATTTAGATGACTGCTGTTCTCTAAATACCAGGGCTTCTACCATGCCAAGTAAAGACCAGCGTGCCTTTGGTCTCTGTCTTTTCTTACCTCCTACCACAGATCTCAAGTACTGCATGGAAGGCCTCAGAATCATTCTCACCACAGTGTTTGAAGGTTAATGGAAGTGTTTTTTCATGTTCACCAGCACCTACATTAGAACTATCTAAGAAGAGGAAGATTTTCAAGCCACTGTCACATAAGACCTCTCCAAGCTCCACTTAATCCAACTTGGGCAAGACTGAGATCCATCAGACCATCATTGCATCAAAATACTTGGAGAGTATAATTTGCACTGTGGTCCCAGGAGTATATATGTTCTCATTACTATACGAGTTTCAAGTGTACAGCTCCAACTGGGTATTAAGTCATCTCCCTCCAGCTCCTTTTCATCTGAACATCCATCCCCAGGGCCCAGAGAAGTAGAGGCAGAAAGACAAACAGCTTTTGGTCCTCCTCGTTGGTGTCGAGTCTAAGTGCAATGTATTCTGGTCCTCAGGGACAATCTGGGAAGGCTTGGGTGGAGATGGCCCCTCCATAAAGCCTGTTCTCCATGTGTCTGCAGTGAGCAGGCCCCAGCCCCTGCCTCACCCGTGTTAGGAGAAGAGTGACACTTCTGCATCTTTTTCAGAGACTGCTGGAGAAAGCAAGATCCTCAGATTGGCCCTGCAAATGCTCCCTTGACCTTGTACAACTTCTTCTAAATCTAACCCTATTTCTGAGACAAGACCAGGGCTGCTGCCACAGTGAGTAAAGAGTTTTATGCAAAATGTCACAGGTTAGAGAAGCTAGAATCTGGAGGATGAAAAGGTTCTAGAAATCAGTATGCTGAATGGGAGGTACAGGGTCAATTTATGGGCAGGAAGCTTCCTGGGCTTAAGACAGTGTTAACATTTGCTGAGGAGGAGTCATAAGCTGCACTCTGAAAGTGATCCATTACATACTTTTAGGGAACATACAAGATTTCTCCTTCTGTAGTCCCAGTGGCCACATGGTTGGTGGTATGGTGGCCAAAGAAAATTACAGAAGGGTTGAAAGACTTGATTAAAATCTAGGGCATTCCCTTTCAATGTTATTCCTAATGTAATACTTTCTGTCCACCCACCCACCCATCCATCCACTGATCAACAGCTGTACCTAAAACAGCATCTACTCAGAACTAGGAAAGCAATGCTACAAGGGAGTGGGGGAAGGTAGGAGCAGGAAAATCATACTGTTAACTGTTTACAGTGATAACCACTTCCCCTGACCATGTACTGGAAACCACTGCCATGAGTGCTGGCCAGAGTAGTGATGTTACTCTTTACAAATGCCCAGAAGGAAATAGAGAGATTTTCCTGGGTAATGTCAGGAAGTAAAATACTAAATGCAAAAGCTTCATTTGCCAAAACCTAAAATTAGTAAACACAGGGAAACAGACGTACTTGAAATTGCATTTGTAAACCTTCATTCATGCAAGCATGTACTTCTCTATGAACATTTATTAAGTACCTGCTAAATGCAAAGTACTTTGCACAAGTTATAAAGTAGGAGAAAATTATATGATGAAGATGAAATAAGAACAAAATGTAGTAGCTATTAATAAATGAGTTAGAAAGTAAAAACACATGACAACATGGCTGTGGTCCCTTCTCAAAAATCAAATGGCTAATCATTCTGGGAAACAATTTACTCTGTAGCTACCATTTATGATAGTAAAAATGTGGTTTTACCATCAAAGGTAAATAAAATTCTGTAGACATGGAAATAGCATTTGAAACCCTGTGTTCACTTGCACTAGTTAACTGAACTGAATTTTCTTTCTGCTATATTATGAATTAAAGAATATGACATAATGGTACTGAAAAAGACTGCTGACTGAGTTGATACACAGGGTACACTATGAACCCTCTCTTTCTGTTTAATGACTAATCACTATCTGCCTCGATTCCTCAGCACACTTCTCAGGGACACACCAGTGCCCAGTATAGGCATTGGCAGAGGGCATGACAGAAAATCAGACATGGGTCACAGAATTCATTCTCCTGGGATTTCCACTCAGCCCAAAGATTCAGATACTTCTCTTTGGGGTCTTCTTCCTCCTCTATGTCTTCACCCTGCTGGGGAACGGAATCATCCTGGGGCTCATCTGGTTGGACTCCAAACTCCACACCCCCATGTACTTCTTCCTCTCACACCTGGCCATTGTTGATATTTCATATGCTTCAAACAATGTCCCCAAGATGCTGGCAAACCTTCTAAACAAGAAAAAAACAATCTTCTTTGCCCCGTGCATAATGCAGACGTTTTTCTACATGGCTTTTGCTCACACCGAGTGTCTCATCTTGGTAATAATGTCCTATGACCGCTATGTGGCCATCTGCCATCCCCTACATTACACTGTCATCATGAGCTGGAGACTGTGCACCATCCTGGCGGTCACTTCCTGGGCATTTGGCTCCCTCCTGGCCCTGGTCCATGTGGTCCTCATCCTGAGGTTACCCTTCTGTGGTCCTCATGAAATCAACCACTTCTTCTGTGAGATCCTGTCTGTCCTCAAGCTGGTCTGTGCTGACACCAGGCTCAACCAAGTGGTCATCTTTGCTGCTTCTGTGCTCATCCTGGTGGGGCCCCTCTGCCTGGTACTGGGCTCCTACTCACGCATTCTGCTGGCCATCCTCAAGATCCAGTCAAAGGAGGGCCGCAGGAAGGCCTTCTCCACCTGCTCTTCCCACCTCTGCGTGGTCGGGCTCTTCTTTGGCAGCGCCATCGTTATGTACATGGCCCCCAAGTCCCGCCATCCTGAGGAGCAGCAGAAGATCCTTTCTCTGTTTTACAGCCTTTTCAATCCCATGCTGAATCCCCTGATCTACAGCCTGAGGAACACAGAGGTCAAAGGTGCCCTAAAGAGAGTGCTTTGGAAACACAGATCAAGGTGAGGGGTACCAGGGAGAAGCTAGAGGATGGAAAATCTTCTCTCTGTGGGGTTTGTGGGAATGGTGATGTAAATGCCTCAAAGTCTTATGCCTTAGATTTCTGATATCAAGAATATATATTGGTCAGATACTGTTGCTAAACATGGGGTGCTCTCCAGACCATGAAGCATCACAGAAAGGCATAGAGAACACAGGCCATGAAGAGAAGAGTCATGTGGTGAAGCACAGTTCATGTGAGCAGAGTCATGGACCCCCACTACCAGTTCCCAGCACAGCCTAGGCTCTGCCTCCTGTTCTTTTGAAGCTTAGTCTTCTCAAATTTCCTCTCATAATTCCCCTAAAATCTCCTTTATTGCTGTATGTCTATGCTAATAATCCCATAATATATACTACTACAAGAGCATCTCTGACAAGATAGAATAAATACTGATTGTGGCTCAGTAGCCCCTACTGGGAATGTACCAGGAACTTAGAGCCAATGTCTTGCCTGGAACTTAATGACTAAAGCTGAGGACAGTAGTATAGAAATGCATCTAAATGAGCCCAACCCATCTATTTCTGTATAAAGTGAAGTTTAATTTCATGTATTTTCCTTTTTTAATATGAAAGGCAGAGAAATATCAGGATCTTTATTTCATTTAATTCTGCACCATTAAGTTAGAGTTTGGAAAGAATTTGTATGTGGAACATTATGAAAAATTTGAGATAAGCCCAGCAAGAAACTTGCCCAGATGGGCCAGACAAAGTGGCTCACACCTATAATCCTAGCACTCCGGGAGGCTGATGAATTGCTGGAGCTCAGGAGTTCAAGACCAGCCTGAGCAAGAGCAAGATCCCATCTCTACTAAAAACAGAAAAAAAACTAGCTGAACATAATGGCAGGTGCCTGTAGTCCAGTTACTCGGGAGGCTGAGGCAGGAGGATCATTTGAGCCCAAGAATTTGAGGTTGCTGTGAGCTATGACAATACCTTGGCACTCTACCCAGGGAAACAGTTGGAATCTGTCAAAAAAAAAAAAAAAGAAAGAAAGAAAGAACAAAAGAAACTTGCACAGATGAATCAGAAAGCATGCTGTTGACTGTGTTTCTTGGAAATGAAATAATGAACCATAATAAAGCCTGCCTCAAATCTTTAGTAGTGACCCACATCTTTATAATAAATATGAGACAAAGTTACTAGGGAGAGATGCTTTTTCCAAGATTCAGGTAGCAAAGCTGTATATAGTTGGCAATTCACCATTACAGTGATGACATAAACTATTATTAAATATAGAAGTGTGAAAATACTGCCAAGAAAGACAGCATCTATGGAAACTGATAGCTTTATGTAACATTACAGGCCACCACTGAAAACCAGTAATATAGCAAATCTGACAAAGACTTTTAGGAAGTGGAACAAAAATTGCAAAGAACACCTACTCCTGGTGATATAAATCACTTTTCCTGGACCCAGGTGGCCATAATGACTACCAGAGTACTTTGTTTTACTTCAACACAAGTTTAGGACCCAAGTGATCAGCCCAGTATCAACACATGATTTAATACAATGACTACGGCATCTATTGAATTCTCTCCTCATCCTCTCATCCCTGTAGCATTATGTGCCATTTGAGTGTATGACTGGTGATGATGTTATACCACCTGATGTCTGTGGATTTTTCTATTTTTCCACCCTAGATCTCATATATCATTGTCATTCCATGTCTCTCTTCTTCCATGAAATAAAAGAGCAAAGGGGAAAATTTTTCTTACTACTTTCTCTCTGCACTATTTTTACTTCTTAAAAGCCTAGTTCTTATTCTACCCATAAATTCAACTGGGAAAAACATGTTGTCTCTAGTTATTATCTTAGTCTTTTTATCATCACAGCATGAAGACTTTGATAGCCCACAGAAATCCATAAACTCACTCCACCCTTCATAAAGAAAACAATTTGAATAAGGAAATAAATACTGGCTCTAAATTTAACTATCAAGCACTAAGAAACTATTGTGTGTCATACTATGAAAGGAGAACTGAAAAAAGTACAGGAAATATTTTTGTATAAAAAGGACTTTCAAATTATACCCAGAAAAAGTATTGTATTCTCTAAGATATATGGACTTTATAATACAGCTAAAACCCTAACAGGGAAATGTAATAGGAAACATAGAATAGCTTCTGTCTCATAAAACATAAACTATAGATTTGAAAACATAAGCTATAGATTTGGATTCAGAATTTTTCACCTAGTGTGCATTAGAAAAGTCAAGGAATGGCATTGATTCTATGTCCTTTCAAAAACACTTGAAAGAATAGACCAGAAATACCCGGATTCTGCAGATGGTGACTAGTGTAAATGAATTATAAAGAAGTTCCTAAGAAGAATATGTTCCAGCTCCATCCATGTAAACATGAAGGAGGTAAAATCTCCATCTTTCTTTCAGGCTGCATACTATTCCATGGCACATATATACCACAATTTATTGATCCATTCATCGATTGATGGGCACTTGGGCTTCTTCCATGACTTAGCAATTATGAATTGGGCTGCAATAAACATTCTGGTACAAATGTCTTTGTTCTAATGTGATTTTTGGTCTTCTGGATATATACCTAGTAGAGGAATTGTAGGATTAAATGGCAGGTCTATTTTTAGTTTCCTAAGTGTTCTCCAAACATCCTTACAAAAGAGATGTATTAGTTTACATTCCCACTAGCAGTGTAGACGTGTTCCCTTTTCTCCACATCCATGCCAGCATCTCTGGTTTTGAGATTTTGTGATGTGGGCTAATCTTACTGGAGTTAGATATCTCAAAGTAGTTTTTATTTGCATTTCTCTGATGATTAATGATTATGAGAATTTTTTTCATATGTCTGTAGGCCATGCTCCTGTTGTACACAGCTGTGATTTAATAAAAAAAAAAAAAAAAGGAAATTCCTCTGGTAGATCTGAGGAGTGTCTCTGATAGAAAAAAGAAAATACATGTATTTTTTAATAAATTGCAGAAAACACCTGAGTATATGAGATATTTTAATTAATTGTTTCAATATTTGAGTTCTAGGATTTTAATAAACAGATTATATTTTGAGGTTATGACACCTTTTACATGTTCTTTCAACATTTATCAGTTTTCAAAGGGCTGAGTAGAAAAGACATATTACCTTATAATGGAAATTCTACTGAGTGTTTCACAACTTACTTTGTTTATCTTTCACCAATAACACAATGAAGTAGATGTCATTTTCCCCATTTAAGAAAAAAGGAAACTGGGTGGCACCTGTGGCTCAGTGGGTAGGGCACCAGCCACATATACTGAGGGTGGTGGGTTCGAACCTGCCCCGGCCAAACTGCAACAAAAAAATAGCCAGGCATTCTGGGGGTGCCTGTAGTCCCAGCTATTCGGGAGGCTGAGGCAAGAGAATTGCTTAAGCCCAGGAGTTGGACGTTGCTGTATGCTATGACGCCACGGCACTCTACCAAGGGTGATAAAGTGAGACTGTCTCAAAAAAAAAAAAAAAAAAAAAGAAAGAAAGAAAGAAAGAAAAGGAA